AGCGCTCCTCAATTAATAAAGCTTATAAATATACATATTGCTGTTGTCATTTGCTATAGAGTTGGAAGCAACTCACAGCTGGCCCCACAGTGGGTTTTCAGAGGTTGTAAATTGAAAGAGAAGAGATTGCCCATCTTTCTTCCATGGAGCAGCTGGTAGATTCAACTTCCCTGTCTTCTCCTTACCCTCAAGGTCATCAGAGCTTCATGAGTAGTTGTCATTGGATATTGTAATGTTTCAATATAATTATTATTTTCTTTTTTCCTTTAAAGGTACCAAAGCTTCTGGTTTAGGGGCCTGTGAGTGGCTTCTTGTCCTCATGTCTCTTCTGCTCATCATTGTGACCTTCCCCTTTTCTATCTGGTTCTGCATAAAGGTGAGATTCCATAAGTCATTTCTGGGTGCCTCTCACTGACCAAACTATGGTTCCTTGCCTTTCTGTTTTCGTACATGTCCTCCCTACCTGGGGCCACCCCACTCCACTCACCTTCCGGGAGAATGCTTATCCTTCAGGCCGTGCGCTAATAGGATTGCCTGTGAAGTCTTCCTTGATATCGCATCATGGTCATCTTCCTCCTGTGCTCCTGCATCAGCTCAGTTTTCTATTTGCTCTAGCATTTCCTACATCACTTATTTACAATCTAACTCTCACATCAGACCCAGAGCGCCCTGAGAAAGGAGTTACATCTAGTTCACCTGCACTCACTCTCTAACACAAAGATTGGCCCAGCATTGATTATCATTTCTGCTCTTGACATTTTCCAGGAAAATTCAGAGGAAGTGTCTATGGACCATGTAGACAGTTATCTCTTGTTGTTATTGATTGTTGTCGAGTCGAGCACGACTCATAGCCACCCTATAACAAAAGGCCTGAAGCCTTTCTATAGCTATCGTCATTTATCAAAATTTCTCAGGTGATAACACATCCTTCTCCCTGGTGTGAATGGTCAGTTTGGGGAGCATATGTCAAGATGGAATTAAAAGAGCAAGGAATTTAGTGGACGCTGTTGTCTGGGAAAGATTAAGGAGAAGAGGAGCCAAAAGGAACAGGGAAAGCTTCCAAAAAATGACATCTGAAACCTGTGAGATGAGAAGAAAGATTAGATAGAAAGAGCTTCAGACTGTGGCTCAGCTTGGAGAAAGTCAAAGTCTTTGCTAGTGCAAATGGGAACTTTGAGAATAATGTCCCTAATAGGGGAGTCCAAGTATGGGCAGCAGTGGGGAGTCCCTACCTCCTCTGTCTTTCTCAGTCACTGACAATATGTCCTTTCCTGGACTCCTATGATGGACACAGCTGGGGCTACTGCTGCCTCAGGTTGTCAGACTCCTCTGGCCTAATTGCCCTGGAAAGTGCTGAATATCCCATGGACCGCCAAAAGGACAAACAAATAGGTCTTGGAAAAGGTGTGGCCAGGGTGCTTCTTGAAGGCAAGGATGGTGAAACATCATCTGACATACTTTGAGCATGTTGTTAGAAGGGGTCAGTTCTTGGAAAAGGACATCATGTTTGGAAAAGTGGAGGGTCACAGAAAGAGGAAGATTCAAGGAGATGAACTGACACAGTGATTACGTTGGTGAGCTTGAGAGGGTCAGGGTGGCACAAGATAGAGCACAGTTCAGATCCATTGTTCATGTTGTTGTTATATAC